CTGAAGTACTAATGTTACCACAGAAACCAAAATATAAACACCAAAGATATATGTTATATTATGAACTATCTTAAGCTAATGATTTTTGTAATGGATAACACATCATATTTTGTGCAATCTCTGGTTTAATAAAGATACAAATAACTTGAGGAGTGCATATATTTATTTGTGGTTTATTCAGTGTTGCTATCAGTAGACAGAATTACAGGATGACTATTAGACTATGATTAGACTACTGAATGACAAGATACATGAACAGTCTAATAAATTGGAAAGGATATGGACAGAATAAGATGGTATGGAGGGACACATTTTAACAATGAGTGAAAAGAGAATCCCAAAGAATTTGAGCATGGAAGAAGAGGCAAATGCCCACGAGGAAGACAAAGATTAAGATATGAGCAACAGCTTATGAAAGATGTCAGACAGAGGGAAGGAACAACATGAGAAGACAGAGATAGATTGAGAAGCTTGGTCATCATACAACCCACATAAATTGTAAATGTCTTGGGAAGAACATAAATCTTGAATTCTCTTTCCATAATTGTTGTCACTATTGTACCCTAATTCTGGTAAATGAAGAGCTTTTATTTTTCATGTCCAACTTAATAAATAGAAACAAAACTGTGATCATTCAATTTTAATTCTAATAAACGCACAAAGATCAGCCAATTCTGCCTCTAAATGTTATAAATAGATTGCTGAGCAGTGTTACCAGTCATTGTTGTTGAAGAGATGGAACCAAAATGAGTATTCATCATGGTGACTCACTAATACTAATTCATCTCGTTTCCGAACAGGTATTTCTTTTGGCAGATAATATACTGCCTGCATCCAGTGATCTCTCCAAGGAAGAACATGTCCATTCTCAGTCAGGGGGTGTGCCCATACAGGAGCACAACTGAGAATAACTTCCCCATTCAGATCCATCACAAGGTCCCACCACATAAATACCACCTGTGCCACACCATCATCAGAAGAGACCAAGTCCAACACATTTGACCTCTCTTTCAAAAGGGGTACTTTTCCAGACCAATCAAACCTGTTTAACATGGGGACAACTCAGAATATTAAATTGCACAACTGAAAAACATAAACAGTAGAAACATACGCTGCACAAGAAATGTTTATTACCACAACATTTTCGGTTAGTTACTCAAACAGACCATTAATTACTGATGTCAAACTGAAAGGTAAACTAAAAACTTACATGGCCACCATATTTGTTGTTAGTCTTAAAAAAATAGGATTACAATTGCAAAACTTAAATATTTTCCAAAGATCTATTACTATACGTAATTTTGGGGCACTACAATTAATTGGAACTATTGTCACTCTCACCTCACAAGTTTGTATACAGTAGGGCACCGCTTATACGGCAGGTTACGGACCAGACCCCCGCCGTAAAGCGAAAATCGCCGTAAAGCGGATCTTTGCCTTTTCTCACTTGCAAATGCATATCAAAGCCTAATAAGATGTTTACACTATCATATAGTAAGTGCACAATAGCGCTAGGCCTAAGAAAACGATATGAAAGTAAAATGAATATCAGTAGTACACACATTGTGGCTCGTTTGATCTTCAATCCACACAACTAAAAGTTTTTCCATGTCAGCAATAAGGCTATCTCTTTTTCTTATGACTTTAGAGTTTATTCGTGTGGCACTTTTAATTTCATTTTACACTTTCTCCTTAGCGTTCATGATGGCACTAACAGTTTGGCGAGCTAGGCCTAGCTTACGTCCTATCTCGGCCATAGACATGCCTTGTTCACAAAGTTTAATCTTATCTAACTTGGCATTTAAAGTAAGAGGCTTACGACTCCTCTTTTTATCGCTACTATCCTTAGACGTCTTTGTAATTACACTGTAGTAACACAAAAATATTATATAAATATACAGTTTGTAATAACTTTGAAAAATTGCCAGAAATACGGAGACGCGGAGCTGTAAACAGACTCAATCAGCGACGAGAAATTGGCGCCGGATGCACTTCTCTGACTCAGCTGTTGAGCGCCGTATTAGCGAATCGCCGTAAAGCGGAGCGCCGAAAAACGGGGCCCTACTGTATCTGCAAGGTTGCCTCTGAAGATTGAAAGGGTGGTACATACACATAGAATGCATGGTGATAACAGAATCCTTTATATTTCCTTAAAGATGGAAAACTGGATAAGGGCAATTATATTTAGGTGCCATCAAATCTGTGCCAAATAAGATGTTTTTCTCTTTGCTCCAGTATCCCTTCCAGAATTTGCAAATGACATTTTTTAAGTTTTTGTACATAAGAATATACAGCAAAATTTGGAGGGATTTATTTATCTAATTAAAATCACAATAAAAAAATGAGGATATGTTAATTTTGCAATGAAATATGGAGCTTCCTTGTCAACTCTGATAGCCCTTCATGTATAATTTAGTAATGGTGGTACCTGAAAACTGGTACTGGAGGAATGACAGAATAGAACTGGTCCCTTGGAAACTGACTTAGCTGGATATCATGGACAGCTGCTGCACCTGAGCACTGCTGTATCATCACTGGAGTATCCAGCAATACAGTGCTTCCATCAACATCAGAAATAGGCTGCAACTTATTCCAGTTCTGAGCTAACTGACTTCCAACAACTTGAACATACACAGTTGCTGATGATGGAACTACAATGCAATCTTTCTGAAAGGAAGAAGCTATTATCAGAACATTATTTTACGAATATCCCAAAAAGATGTACACACACAAACATTACATAAGTCAGCATTGTGTATACATCTCTGTGGGACACCTGTACATGAAATTGGATGCAATATTGTAAAAGGTCCTCCTCCTCGATCCATCACCCTGTTAGGGCATGGTGTAAAGGGTGTACTGATTCAAAACCCTACCTCACATGACAATAAAAGAATGGTTACTGTGAGACAGTAGTTAAAGAACAATTCTGTGACAAAAGAACAATCAATTAAGTAACCCTGCTGAGTCGAGAATTGATGTAATAAATTAAGTTACTGTGAATTAGGATTTGAGGTTTTCACGGCCGTGCGTCTGACTTCTGGGTTGTTGCACAACAACCCAAAAGACAGCCATTCTAAGTTACTGCCATTTGATTTTTCCAACGTTCCCCTCTCCCAAATCACAGATGTCTTACAATTTACAATGAAGTATTTTTTCAAAAACAGATATGCAGTACTGATACTTCTTACACAACTTAATACCTCTAAAAGTTCTTCATGTGCATGCCTGAAAGTTGCAATGGCTCCTTCACCAATTAGTTCAGTATCAAAGACTTCAGTCACTAGAACATTTGCACGATGTTCCATGTCACCATCAGTACCAACGGTCATATCAGTTGAACGTTTTGGAATTACACGTATCTTTCCTTCTAAACCATTGTCACTAATGATTTTCCTAGCACATTCTGCCATTGGTTGAAATGCCTAGAAAAAAGTGTCTTGTAAATATTTCAGATTCTTTTGGTGGTGCATATGAACATAACTATCTTCTGGGATGTGAAGGTCATGCAGTCTTTTAAAATTAACTGATATTTCAGAGGTGCTTACTGCCTCCATAATCAGAGTAACATAAGTTTTAAAAATAATTTGGACATGTGTTAAGTACACAACAGACTACTCACAAGCATTTGCTACCATCATGCACTCACACATTCTTAGGTATACCAGCACATTCCACTGACAACATGCCAGTCCACATGCATATATTAAATCTTCATACTGAACAAGTATTAAATGAAAAACATTAAAATTCACCTCACAAGCAACAACAGTGTCAGCTCCACTCTTTGCTGCCATCAAGGACAACAGTCCTGTACCAGTTCCTATGTCCAACACATGGGCCTTCTTCCCCATACTATGGATCTTTTCTATTGCTAGTTTCACTCCAAGATAGTACTTTTGATTCTGTAATACAGCAAAACTTCTCTTAATATTCACTCTCTGAATGTAAGAAATTTATATAAATTAAGAAAAGCCCTGAGAAAGGCACTACAGGATAGCCACTGGATCAGTCAGCAAAGATGAGAAATCAGGTTGACTTACAGGAAAGCACTAAGATGTGTAATCAAAGTATGTAAATCACAGTTTGGAACACTCAATGTAATAAACTATAAACAAATAAAACAACAAGTTTATTATTAAAGGAATTCATATAAAAGTTCACCCTTTCTTGCAATGGATAAGTTAAACTTAAAACAAATTAAACATTTTTAGGTCCACCTAAAAGTTACTGAAATTACTCAATTGTAGTCACACATTTTGGTTGATCTATAATACTTTATTATTAATTATAACTCCCTTAGTCTCTTTACATTACTATGAAACATTTTGAAAGTGCCAGTGGAGGCTTACATGACAGACAAAAATAAATGCAAACAGCTCTCCACTATTACAATAAAAAAACCTCCTCTATTTACATTAAAATGAATTAACATAATAGAACATTTAATAACACTGCATGGGAGAAAATTTTTTAATATAAAGAGATACAAAATTTTTGTTAAAAACCTGAAGGTAAGAGATGACTTGGGTAACCTATCATTTGATAATCATATCTCAGTTTACTGGCTGTTTCCTGATTCCATACTTTAGAAATTTAAACAATCAGTCACTCAAGATCAAGTCAAAGATTGGCCTTTTTGAATACAAAAAGTAGTAACACATTGCATGTATCAACACCAAGTATTTCTTCACCTGACTGTAATTCCTGTATCCCTAGATAACCGAAATGCAATATTAACTGCATTGTGTTTTTTGAAGTTCCAAATGTCATACAAATCTTAGGTTGAATTAATCATTTGCCTTTAGATACTACTTTCTACATTCTAAAATTCTTAACAGAGTATGTGTATGTCTTACCCTTTCTGTATCATGTAACATGTCAGCAAATGCTGAACGTGCTATTTCTTGATGATAATCATAATCTTCATTTTGAAGTTCCCACTCTGATTTGCCAGTTACAGAATTTACTTTTATTGTGAAAACACTCATTCTTCTGAAGTTATAACATGCACCCTGAAATACTTATAGGATAAACAAGTTAAACATACACACAATGCTGAAATAATACATAAAGACAAAGAACAAAATTGCATGTATGATGAAAATTATTCCGTGTTTATGATACATCTCGTCATGTACCACGTGAGATTCATTGTAACGCAATTCAGTTACTGGGTATAAAATAATTCGAGGCAACAGATGTGAACAATGAATCAGGACTGAACATTGTACTTTAAATTACACGAAATTTCATAGGTGTGAAACAAATATCTGCAAGAAATTCAATAAGCAAAACACATATGTTTTACTACGGCCACAGCACGGTTCAATGATATCGTCAATCACGTGTATGGTGACTCCTATAATCAGAATTTGTTTAGAATGTTGGTGACATGCACATAGGCTGCCATCAGCTCATCTTATTAACCAACGTAAATTTTAACACACTAAATACTTATAATCCACCTTAATTAGCCAATTCACTCTGTTCATGTAAATTGAAGATTACGGTTTGTAATGTGGTAATACTGATTTCTTTAAAGAATGTTCTTAACTATAGTAAACCACCGTAATGACATCTTTATATCGTACACAAAAACAACCACTACTACGAGAATTTTTAAGGTTGAAAAATAGTTAACCTTCTCTCCTTTTTTTTTTTTACATATGAACCTTTCATAGGTAGTAGCACAATAGGTATTAAAGTTACACATCTTTGAGGTTATCATCTGTAGTCTCGCCATGTCTCGGGATTACGTTGGATATCCTGTAATGTAGAAGACCTTGTGCATAAGGTCGAAAGGGTTTTTGGTTCAAAAAGTCGTTATACATGTTTCAGTTTTAATATTAAAAGTCGTTTGCACCGCTACAGGAACTTTAATTTATTTTCTTAAATACGACTTGATTTCTCTACGTATCTATTCCATATTTAACCTCGCTTTCTGGGCGATTAGATCGACGTATAAACATGGCGACTTCCACAGGCGGTGTGGGTAAGTGACTTGGAAATGTGGAATCTAATCTCTGAAAATTTCCATCTTTGACATAAAGTTAATTGCTGCGAAAAGTTAAAAGCGTACAAAAATGTGTTTTTGAGTGTTGTGTGTATATAAAGTATAATTTACTAAGCGAACCTCCAAACCATTTTCTTGGACGTACCGGTGTACGCCTCACCCGCCATTTTTGGAAACGTCGTGATAGCTATTGCGATGACAGTATTTATCGCATAGTTCATCTCCGGTTTTATTTTAAGCTATCAGTTGAACAACAGCTGTTATATAATTTACTGTTAACCTTTCGCAGTAACCTTGAGTAGTTAAATGGAAGATTGTTAGGTTAAGATTAGCTCTGCTTCCCATGATCCCACCAAATTTTTGGTCATGTTATTATAGTTAGCGTTTCGGCATTAAAATTATGCATGGTCAAACAGAACGTTTTTGTTTGAAATGCATTCGTAATTTTTAACAGTGTGAATGTTACGTGATGAGTTGGGCAACCTATTTTATTCAACATAGGCATAGGTGTGTAGTGGACATTCAGATATCATTTATATGAATCATCATTATTTTGAGTTCCAAGGTCGGTCTTTCACTTATGTGAACACAATTTGATGAATATGCATCTGGATTCAGGTGTTCTGAGGTGTTATAAAATGGAATATATTTGATTACAAGCTTAAAAGACCTTTTAAAATTTGACCATGTATTTATTGTATATACTGCAGTCATATTGCATGAAGATTGTGGCATTCAGTTGCAAATTTTATTTTATAAATTTTTAAGACTCTTTGTTATTGTAGCATGGATTTTAGAGCTTTAATATATAAAAATGAAGTATATGCTTCTGTATAGGACATCTTGTATGGTCTACAGCAAGATTCTCCTCAAACTCATTAAATAATTCTGCTTTGAATGCAGACCAAATGCTATATTTAAATCCCCTACTCCTCTTCTTGTCCCCCTTTTCTCTCCCCCCATAATTTTTTTGTAGTTCATATTCTAGGTTATTGCCTTTACATCTCATTCATTGAATTGTCTGTTAGTTATGTGCAAGGTAAATATTGCTGCAGAGTGTCTGATTACATGTTCAAAAGAATTTCTCTGTTACAGTTGTTCCACGTAATTTCCGTCTGCTTGAAGAATTGGAACAGGGGCAGAAAGGCGTTGGTGATGGAACTATAAGTTGGGGACTTGAGAATGATGATGATATGACCCTAACACATTGGACTGGAATGATAATTGGACCCCCTAGGGTAATAATACAAATTGTAATTTTGTAACCATTGACTTTCATACTTTGCTCATTTGTGTATCACAAGATAAGTAAAAGTCTATGAATACATTTATTGATAGAATGCCTGAATATTGCCTGCTGAATAACAGAAGTAAACTTGGCATAGAATATAATATAATGTGTTTATTTCTTTCCACAGACTCCATATGAAAACAGAATGTACAGTCTAAAGATTGAATGTGGGCAAAGATATCCTGATGAAAGTCCAAGTGCTAAGTTTATTTCTAGGATCAATATGAATTGTGTCAACACTACCAATGGCATGGTAAGTAGAACTTAGCCAATACTTGTTCTGTACATTGAAAGTAGTGTGAATCACAGCAAAATCTTTATAGAATAAAATTTAAGAAACTTGTTTTGGGTCCATTACCCTGAAGTAGATCCTCTATCAACTCACTCTTCATGATTTAAGATTGTGCTTTTATTCTTCTAAGTTATTAAATGTACTGAAAATATTCAGTTTGTATCTGTTTGGAAATAAGGCAATATAAATTACACCTGGTAGGATATAAAATGTCAAAACATGTGGACCTCAAAATGTTGGAAGAACTGGTTTATGATTATTGTTTTCTGTCATTTTGCAGGTGGATAATAGAGCTGTCCCGGTGCTGGCGAGATGGCAGCGTGATTACACAATTAAGACTGTTTTACAAGAGCTGCGAAGGATTATGACATTGAAAGAGAATATGAAACTCTCTCAGCCACCTGAGGGAAGTTCATTTTAGCAATGAAGCGTCAACTGTCAGAGCAGTTTGTCCACACCTCTGCCTCTTGGGAGACAGGGGTTAATGAATATTCACTTCAGTCTTAATAGGAGTGATGCATTGGATTCCTCTTAATATAAAAGATTAAGACAAATTTAAAAATGCAGCCATAATTTGGAATGATGTTTTTGTATGAATAGCCTTGTCAGCACTGCACATACATTCAGACTTGGTAATATTAATCATATTTGGAGAGATACGAGTAACATTGAATTGCTAACTTTTAATTTACAAAACAATTACTGAGAAGTGCTATTCTAGTTATGTTCACCATTTGACAGTAAACATGCAATTGAACACAATGAAGGAGTAGAGGAGTAACCTTATGGTTGCAAAACAATATTCACTTATTATGGAAATTGTAAAAACTAAGTGCTAGTTTGTAAATGTTTTATTTAGTATGTTTTAATTGCTAGCATCCATAATTTGCACTGAATTTCTTAAATTACGAAGTGTTATTTTGAGTACAACTTAACGAAGTGAATTACCAAGAGTGCCAGTTATGATAAATTTTGTATGAGGATGTTATATTATTTGAAGTTTGTGAAGCTAGCTTGTAACTGCATGAAGTGTTATTGCTAATCTCTCTGGATATGACTGGAAAAGAATTTATTATACATTGAAAATAAGTCAGTCTCAGTTGTTTGGCTTCTGTACTTCTTTTGCCATGTTTCTCCTGTTGTTTGTCAGCCCATATTGTAAAAGGAAAACATTTTTATGGGGATGTCTTCAGATAATTTGTGTTGCTTTTATTCCCCTAAGTATGTCATTGTTCTTGATCCAAGTGGAAGATTTTTAACTTCTTCTGATTGAGCTTTAGGAAGAGAACAGTGATTAACAAGGCTCTGGTAATGTGGCAGTCATTAGTTTTTTTTAAGGTAAAGGTGAAATAAAACAAGTTTACTACTATGAAAACCCTGTGACAGCATTTTTAAAACAAAGATATTGCTATTTGCACCAATAATGTTTTAATAATTTGTTATATGCTAGCATGTTCTTTGGCTAGCTAGGTAACCGTTAATTGCTGTGTGGATGTGATTTTCTTTTGCCAAGTAATTTTGGTTCTGGCAGAAAATTGGCACTGTCGAGGGTTCATCAGTATCAGCATCAGTGCAATAAACTAACATTTGTGGGATTTGGTTGATTAAGTCCTTTTTCAGATCTAATGTTTCAAATAGACAGGAACTATATGATTTTGGAAGTTGTAATGAGTAATTATTAATCTTATTATTGGTGTATGAAAATATAAGAATGTAGAATAAGAAGTGAAATTTAGGTTTCAGAGAGGTGAGCTGACATTGCTGACAGTTTTAACAGCTATATCAGTGATTTCTGCCCACACACACGCTTGATTGCTGTGCCAGTTTCCAGTCTAGTTTGGTAGTGTAGAAGATAATGTGGGTCATTTCCTGTTGAAATGCCTATTTTGTTTCCTTTGTTTTGTTTTACTCTTGAACTGTTCTTCAAATGTAGCCAGAGCAGTGTCTGGCATTGGTTATACTTTGTATGCAGTGACCGGAATGCACGTCTGGACTTCCCACTCTAGAAGTACTGAATGCTGCTTCCACCCCCACCCCTGAGGTATTACTGAAACGTCCAGAGGTGAATAAATGACTGAAGGTGTTACTTCTGTGTATAAGAAGGATAATGAGTCAGCTTGTCTGTTGCTTATTTATAGTTTTTGCATTTCTGGAAGAATTTGTGTAATTTTAGGGCATAATTTTATTATGAACTGGGTTCCCATATTTATTTTGATAATTCTGCACATCTTGGTTCCTTGAAAGATTGTGTAATGTAATGTAATGTAGATGTGTAGGGGTAAGTGGTGTTTGGTGACATCTGCTCCTCTTCAAAACTGGCTTGATTTTACATTACTGTAAAAATGATCCTAGGGGCTGAGCTTAAAACAACATGTTTTCACAAAATGTATGATAAATGCTTGTAAAGTTGTTGAGCATTCTTAAATTTGAATCTGAAACTATAACACGAAACAAAATTACTTCCACTGCACTCCCAGTATATAATTAAAAAATGTGTAAGTTGCATTGTTTTATATCTGACAGTTGAAACTTGTAACACCATTCTGTTCTTTTATTGGAAAGAGGTCCAGGGATAATTCGAATGAAGACAAGTTGTTTTGCTATAAAATTCTTGTGTTCCTTTACATTACACTAATGCACATATTTCTTCTCATTGTAGTCTCCTTAGTACACATCTTCCATCTGTAGATCAGAACCACGATGCCATTGTGCAAAAATGTTTTGGTTAGCCACAGCTGGTTTTACACTGCATACTGCACCTCGTCAGTACATAAGTGGATTTCACTGAGTTGAACTTTTAAGGGTCCAAAAAGATGATAGTTATCTGGAGCAAGGTGTCATGAGTAAGGCAAGTGAGAGATACTTCTGTGGACTATGATTGTTGTAGCATTCACCTGAGACAAATCTAGATATGCATTACCATGCTGCAAGCAGATTACCATGGACAGCAGTTTATCTAATTTTCTCCCAATGACTGGCTTCAGATTCTCCATTATAAACATGCAGTGCACTTGTTATTGCACAGCTCTTCTGCAGGAAGTGTGTCAGTGTAATATTGTTCATGTCCAAAGAAACATCAACATACCTTTCGAGCTGATGGGGCTACTCATAATTTTTGGGCTCCAGTGATGAAGAATGAGGCCACCCTTTGCTAACTCATGTGGTCTTCATCATGAAGTGGTGTACCCATGAACCATTGCTTGTCGCAGTCAATCCCAAAAAATTATTGCCTTCTGCTTCATGGTGAGCCAGCAAAGCCTTGCATGTATTGAAGCACATCTGTTTCATATTTCAACTGATGTGGAACCCAACATGCATAATCTTTGTTAAATATCAGCTCATTATGGACTGAACAAATACCCACTGGCAACATCACAGTGAGGTTAATCAAAAGTTATTCAGCAGTTCTGATTTAAGAATTTTGCTTCCAACATAATGTTAGCTTTAAACAACTGCACTCCCTTGTGGACATGATATTGAGATGAGTATGCCATCATTTGTGGCCTCCATTGATAAATATTTGCTGATATGTCTCCTTCAGCTGCCAAAAATCAAGCAAATCTATGCATCTCTACTTAGTATGTATTTTCACACAAAGTACCATTTTTGAATTGTAACTTCATGTTTGTAATCATGCTTATGTCAGCTATAATGAATGTGTAGAGACTGTTAAAAAATAAACATCTTGTAGCTTGAAAGTGTGTTGGAGTAAAACAGTTGTTTTCAGTTGAATTACCCTCATGCATTTACCAGTTTCAGTTGTTGCTAGGAAGTTGGTGGACTATAATATTTTCAATATCACATTAATTCTTTCACATTGTGTGTATGAAATTGAAACGTAAATCATGATATTATGGCATACTGTCAGGCTCTTTAATTGTAGTGAATTCATAGATTTGTTTACCACAGTTAATGCAAAATTTATATGGACATTATGAAAACCATGCAGATTAGTTTGTCATAAAATTTAAAATTAATTGTGACAGCATTCTATATGAATAAAAAATGTCATAAAGGTGCATACAGTGTTTCTTTGTTATTGTGGTTTTTGACGTGTAGTCTTGTAGATGGTTGCCAACATTTTGGAGAACCGTACTGCCTCCATCTTCAGGTTAGAAAACGAAGGGCATATTTAGAGTGCAGCTGAATAAAAGAAACTTGTAGCTTGGAAGTATGTAACAGTAAAACATCTTGTTTCAGTTGAATTCATACTTTTGTTCAGTTGTTGCTCTGGAGCTGAAAATATTACAGTAGTTTTCATAATCTGAACTTGAAATTGATTAGCCTGAAGATGGGTTTCTTTAATCTCCCAATGACTGGCTTCAGATTCTCCATTATAAACATGCAGTGCACTTGTTATTGCACAGCTCTTCTGCAGGAAGTGTGTCAGTGTAATATTGTTCATGTCCAAAGAAACATCAACATACCTTTCGAGCTGATGGGGCTACTCATAATTTTTGGGCTCCAGTGATGAAGAATGAGGCCACCCTTTGCTAACTCATGTGGTCTTCATCATGAAGTGGTGTACCCATGAACCATTGCTTGTCGCAGTCAATCCCAAAAAATTATTGCCTTCTGCTTCATGGTGAGCCAGCAAAGCCTTGCATGTATTGAAGCACATCTGTTTCATATTTCAACTGATGTGGAACCCAACATGCATAATCTTTGTTAAATATCAGCTCATTATGGACTGAACAAATACCCACTGGCAACATCACAGTGAGGTTAATCAAAAGTTATTCAGCAGTTCTGATTTAAGAATTTTGCTTCCAACATAATGTTAGCTTTAAACAACTGCACTCCCTTGTGGACATGATATTGAGATGAGTATGCCATCATTTGTGGCCTCCATTGATAAATATTTGCTGATATGTCTCCTTCAGCTGCCAAAAATCAAGCAAATCTATGCATCTCTACTTAGTATGTATTTTCACACAAAGTACCATTTTTGAATTGTAACTTCATGTTTGTAATCATGCTTATGTCAGCTATAATGAATGTGTAGAGACTGTTAAAAAATAAACATCTTGTAGCTTGAAAGTGTGTTGGAGTAAAACAGTTGTTTTCAGTTGAATTACCCTCATGCATTTACCAGTTTCAGTTGTTGCTAGGAAGTTGGTGGACTATAATATTTTCAATATCACATTAATTCTTTCACATTGTGTGTATGAAATTGAAACGTAAATCATGATATTATGGCATACTGTCAGGCTCTTTAATTGTAGTGAATTCATAGATTTGTTTACCACAGTTAATGCAAAATTTATATGGACATTATGAAAACCATGCAGATTAGTTTGTCATAAAATTTAAAATTAATTGTGACAGCATTCTATATGAATAAAAAATGTCATAAAGGTGCATACAGTGTTTCTTTGTTATTGTGGTTTTTGACGTGTAGTCTTGTAGATGGTTGCCAACATTTTGGAGAACCGTACTGCCTCCATCTTCAGGTTAGAAAACGAAGGGCATATTTAGAGTGCAGCTGAATAAAAGAAACTTGTAGCTTGGAAGTATGTAACAGTAAAACATCTTGTTTCAGTTGAATTCATACTTTTGTTCAGTTGTTGCTCTGGAGCTGAAAATATTACAGTAGTTTTCATAATCTGAACTTGAAATTGATTAGCCTGAAGATGGGTTTCTTTAAAAAGTTGGTAACCACCTACAAGACTACACAACCAAGATGAGCAAACTCTGAACTTTCACCATCATGAAGTACTTCATATCTCATGTTTCATCCTGTCACTTTTATTATAAAGTATTAGAATCAGCTTTCATTGAGGGAAGAAATACTTGCTGCCTCCATCACCGTGAATGGATAATGAAGATGAAGGAGGCATCAAGTACCTCTGATACATAGGTAAACTACTATCAGACTACATGGTGCTATAACCCAGAGAAATATTCAGGAATGATAAGTTTGAAAATGTGTGCAGTGTAATAATTCTGGCATGTATATGAGAATTTGATGTGTGACCTCTTTGAATTATACCAGTGATGTCACAGTTGTTCGGGTCAATGGCCTTGGCTTAAGCAGCATGTCTGCTACCAGTTTGGCTGGTTGGTGACATCACAGAATACCTCCACCTTTTATATAAACCTGAAGGTTCATTACTGTGCTCACATGTGTGCTACAAACTCTTATCCTTAACCAGCTAAATCCATTTTACTCTCTTAATACCCTATTTCTTTATAATTTTAATATTATCCTGCCATTGTTCCACAGAATTCATACAGCCCTATATAACATTTCATAGGGGGTTAACCCCTACCCTACTCCATAAGTAAATGTCCTTGCAAACACACAAACTGTGTAATCTATATATTCTAAAACATGTTCTTTGCACATGAAGAAGGTTATGAGGTGTATAATAATGACACAAAATATATACATATATACAAATATATACTTGGTCTCAAAAAAAAAAAATTGTAATAGCACCCAGAAATGATCTGTAAAGGCTTATGTTGAATTTATCTTATGTAAGCTACACATTACAAAGATAGAATTTGCGGAACAAGTGGAAAGATTGTAGTGCCACCTGAAAACCTCTCATTGGTTTTAGTCTTCTTTAAGTTGCTATTACCAAATAACCAGTAACTTAAATCAAGAAACTTTGATGTGATGCACTTTTCGACTGTTCATGTACATATGTTGAGAAAATATATCCTGTTATATTCATATAAAAAAACACTAATATGTTTATGATGGAATATTGAGCAACTCTACAACACAAAAATCGGATATTCTTATAAGAAGTCAAGTCCAAGTAATTAATGAGTGAAAACAAATTCAGTTTACAGATACCACATTCCGAATTTTTCCTTGCATAACTCTGATACAGAATTTATTAGTGTTGTTCAGTAAAACTATTATAACACTTTGGAAAGATGTGCTTTGCAGAATCAGTCCAGCTATTTAATTGTCAATACTTACAATGAATTAGGAACTATCTTCATTGTAAATTCTGTCAGCTAATACAAACTGCCAGATTTGAGTGGCCAGATGAGCTTTGCTCTCTCCCAGCATTGTGCTCATCATTTGCCAGTCTTCTCTGCTTGCACCAGTGTCCTGAATTAGTTGTAATTTCCGATAAGCTGTTGAAAAACACATAAACCAGTAAACCACTTCACTTACTTCTAAGAGGTATGAACTTACAGTGGCATTACAGAACTACTTTGTGACAAACAGGTCACATAGCAATGTTAAAGTAGTGAAAAAAAGAAGTCACATTAGCTGGACAGGGGAGATGAAATGCATAAAGAATTGGTTTGGAAAGCATGCTCTTGAAACACTAACAAGTAGAGAAGAGCATATAATGAGGAAATAGGTTGTGGCAGACAGATTAAACTGGTTGAAAATTGTAATATTCTGGTATCTTCTATTTAAAGTAAAGGTTTTATTAGAATTTGACTTACTATGCACAGAATCTGATAAATGAATTAGGCTGCATAACAGAATCAATTATGTTTTCAAAATATTTCTTCTTGAACTTGGCAGCAAGGTTAAATTAGGAAGTCTACTAATGTAAATAAATGATGATAAATTTAATATAGTTTATCATGATCTCACAGATTTCATGGTTACAGTTTTTACTGTCCATCAATATGTGCTAATAAAGCTAATTATTAAGAATATATGATTTAAGCAATGTAACATAATCTTGGCCTTAATATACAAGTTAAAATAAAATATAAAAATTAATGATAGTGTATGGTATCACAGAGCCTTTAAAGAAGTTATACATCCTTTGCTGCTGAGATATTTATTTATTACTGAATATATTCATGAAATAAAGAATAATACTTCATTTCACTTGCCATGTAGGAAATTTTCAACACCCAATTCTCGTTCCAAGTCCATTCTCCGTTCTTCAATATGTGAAAACAAGGTTCCATCTTCATATCTTATGGCCTGTCCAGTTTGATCTGGAAATTATTTACACATAAGTGTAACAATTAAATTAATATAATCACAGTACATAAAAATTATGTTCCAAACATACAGCTGAATGAGAATGCAGGGGTGGAGAACAATACACCATGATAACCATTAAGGAATGCATACCTTTGAAAAGACTATACTGCTACATGTATCAGTGATGTTAATATCTGAAGGTGTGCCTTCCTGCCAAGCATTTCTATTGAGATCAGAAAAGGGAATACAGAAGTTTTCAGACACCACATGAAAAGTGAGTAACTAACTGAATTTGTGGTTCACACAAAAGACAAATACAGATTCAATCTTCATTAGTGGGATTTTTCTCTTTTCCACTACATTTAGAATGAGTGTGTTCCATCAAGCCTCATACCTATTCAACACTAGGCTTGCTTTTTCTGGAAGTAAGGCTGCCAGATGATGAAGCTGATAACTTCTAGCACTGAGTTTACATGGCATCACAACCAAGAATGTCACAATCCACATTTTCACCACTATAAAAATCTCATAACAGCTTTCTTCTTCCTGAAAGGCTGTATTAACCATGCATGGGAATTCTAACAATACAGTACAAAAACTGAAGACAAAAAAGATATGAATCAAAATAAAATTCACTTCACAACTTTCAGCATATACCCCAATAATAAATTTAATTGAAATAAGTTGTTACAGATATGAAACATGCAGACAAATGTAACATTTCCATTACAAGTTAATTGTATGCACTTTATGAAAAGGCTGCATCAGTGCTATTATCTAAATGCCATGTTGAGCCAACAGAAAATAAATGCATCCTGGAATATTCAATTTAATGGTCTGTACCTTTTATGTTGATTGTTCTGTCAGAGTGGCATACTGTCACCACATCTCTGTCCTGTAAATAAATAAACACAACAATGAAAATCATGAAAGATAAAAGCTTTGTAATACTTTTCAAACAATGAATCCTCATATAATAAATTTAGATGCAAGAAAGACAAGTAGCCAGTCACGTTCTTCAGGGTTGTGACACTGCAATCTTGCTGGTGGTTACCAGTGTCTCAGAGGAATGTACTACTTTCATTGTTAGGGCAGAAGTGAGCCAAGACCAACCAATCACAAAGCTAAATAAGGGCAGTCTTGCATACATTGTAAAATATCCCTTGCTATGTAAAACCATTCCTGTGTATGAAACACAGCTGGATGGGATAATAG